AAAAAAACGAACAAGAATTTATGGATGTTTTTAAACGTTTTTATTTTCGCATCAACAAATGATCAACTGTCCAATCGACTATCAAATACAAACCATTTCCATTCTAATCGATCGGTTTCGGTTCGGTTCGCTTTGTCTTCGGCAAGTGAATTCGAATCTACTGCTAGGTGGATTTTGTATATGAATGAATGTAGACAGTTTTGTTCGATTTAAATTTGATTTGATTTCATTTATTTATACAACATTTTCGTTGACAATTGTCGAATTGAACATTTCAATTGGAAACATGTATAAAAATAAATTCAATGATGTGGTTTTTCATTAGAAAGAACAATGGCTTTTATTGTGTGTTTGATTCGGCTGCAGATGGTCATTCAGTACAGATGAATACGGTGTGCAGTGTGACGTAGATCAATTGACATTTTTCATTCATGAAATGCAGCGTTGTAAAAGTCGAAATCGAATACACTGAACGGTGTGTTCTCCGCTGTTCGGCGGAACGTATTTACGCACATTACAACTCGACACTCGGTCGATTGTTCATCGCGGCGGCGGTGGCACAGTGGAAGAGTGGTTGAGCGATGCACACTCACTTGATAGTGTGTGTCGCGAGTTCGAGACTGATAGATTAGCTAGAAAATATTTCATTATCTATATTAGGGTATGTAGGACATGAGTTAATACAATAATTGTGTCGCAGACAACTATTGTAACGCCATGTAATCAGCTTCAGTGAATCTCACTAAAAAATAACCACAAACTCTTCTACAACTCCCCACGTGGATTTTGCCGGCCACCGAGATTTTTTTTTTTTTTGCATTTTCAATGCACTTTATTTCTTTTTATCAGTTCCGTTCAAAATGGATTCAATTTCGACTCTAAATTTTAATTTAAAAAATAATTTACACACACATTTCACATCAATAGCCCGTCAAAACTATGGAAAAAGGGAAAAATCGTGTTTGTATTCAAACCAATACATAAAAATAACGAAGAAAAATTTAATTTTAAATCAACTTGTTTTCGAACAAAGTATTCGTGACAGCGTGAGCATATGCACGCACGTGTGTTATTATGTGTGACGTGTGTGATATGTGAAACGTCGTGTAGTTCGCTCCGACCAACTAACACACACGCTTACAAACACATACATGGCATTTTTTACACTTTTCTTTTGTTCGAAGATTGTTGATTTAAATTTCAAAATAAATACTTGTAGATGGTATACTAAACACAAATGTCTTGGATTCATTTGTTTTTTTCTTCTTCCAAAAGCCAAATGGTGGAATCGCATTTATTTAGTATGCTGCGTAATGCGTATGTTGTTATATTTTGCAATTAACGAAGATACGTTCTGCAGAAGAGAAATAATATTTGATAATTATGATTTTAGTGCAGAAAATTATGAAATCACTTCAGTAAAAATTTAGCCTTAATTATTTAGTAGTTTCGAACATCTAGACTGATGAGAAAAAAATGAAGATATGTGGATTGTACGACGCCATTATAATTCTCATATACTATTTATATATAAAGAGCTCAACCAAGAGAAATATTTGTTCAACATTGATCGAACTTTGATTAATTTTCAAAAATTGGTGTATGCGTTTCACATCGAAAATTCAAATATATTTCCTTTAATTTAGACAAATTCAATGAGAAGAAAGGAAAATCACTATATTCACTTACGCGGATTTACTAGGAAATTATTTCTCTAGGAGTCACAACGAGGTGTCTGATGTCGATGACGATTGAATTGTGACTGAAGAGTATATGAAAGAATGTTGTATAAGAGTTTCGTGATCCGCAATGATCACGTATATCAGTTTACAAGTGTGAGTGAATTGAGGGGAAATGAAATGTATAAAGTATAGAGAATTTTCGTTGAAAAAAATGAATGGATTTTTTTATTGGGAATGCTGAAAAAAGAGACAACTTAGAATTTAATTATAATATTGGGCTGTCGTCTTATTTCTTAAAACATAGATAGGCGATTTGCTAGCCAAATAAATTTCAAACAGCTACTGAGATTCCGAGTTATGACTCGGTCATTTTACTTATGAAAATATGTGAGCAGCTACAGTTACGCTGTAATTCGCTCATACATACATTGGGACATGTACACACAAGAACATTTGATCATAGGCCATATATAGCAA